TATTATTTTATTCCTTATAGTTATTATTTTATTTCTTATAGTTATTTCTAGTTATTTTTCTTAGTTAATATAGATTAAGTAGAAGTAATAATAAGCAACTCTAAAGCTAGAAGAACAATCTCCTATTACCTAGTATATTTAGCACTTACCTATACTATATAACTAGATAGAAGTTATATAATATAATAACTTTACCTCTTACCCTATATATGCCCTATTAGTCACAATACTTAGATACTCTAGAATACTTATATTAACTCTATATTAGAGTATTTAGTAGTTATTTAGAAGTAGAAGAAAGGTCTCTATAGTCTCTAGCTATAAAGCATAGTAATCCCTCTATATAATTTATATATAATCTTTATAGCTATTAATACTATAATTCTTCTTCCTTCTTCTTTTACCTATTTAATCCACTTTTCCTACTTACAACTTATATTTAATAAACCTTCTACTTCTTCTACTTAAGCATCTTATATACCTTAATAAAACCTTATTTAGATTAATACTAAACTAAAATTAAGTTAAATATAGTATAGTTATAATAGACTAGCCCTAGAGGGGCTTTAAAGGCAACTAGCCCTATAGCTATTAGTAGCCTTATAGCTATAACCCCCTTAGCTATAAGGCTAAAAGGATTTATAATAATAATACTAACTAATTATTATCTAGTTACACCTATAAGGGCCCCCTTTAGGGGCTCTGTGCTAGCTACTCTTAGAAGGCGCTAGGCTAGAGCCTAGCCTATAATATACCTTCCCTCTCCCTAGCGCTATAGATAGGCTATAAACCCCCTAGGCTCCAATACATAGCCTGTAAGCCTAGGCCAAGGTCTGTACACAGCGCTAATCTACCTTCTATTTAGTAGCTACCTACTATACAGTTTGAACCTATAACCCTAGGGTAGTATTGTTATATATAATAGACTAGCCCTAAAGGGGCTTTAAGGGTAACTAGCCCTATAGCTATTAGTAGCCTTATAGCTATAACCCCCTTAGCTATAAGGCTAAAAGGATTTATAATAATAATACTAACTAATTATTATCTAGTTACACCTATAAGGGCCCCTTTTAGGGGCTTTATACTAGCTACTCTTAGAAGGCGCTAGGCTAGAGCCTAGCCTATAATAATAGTAATAATATAGGTATATAGTAAGATAGGAATAAACTAGGTATATATTAATATTAGTTTAGTATATATATAGAAAGGAATTAACTTTCAATTTGAAATTTAGTAAATTAGGCTATTAGCCTACTCCCACCCTAGCATGGCCTAGACCCGGCACTGGCCCAACTCCGCCCTTTTACCTGGGCACAAAACAGAAGATTTTAAAAAAAAAAACGGGCGCGGCCCGGGCCAGGCCCGGAGCCGCCCCAACTCCGCCGCTTCCAGCGGGCCAAAAACAGGCGACTTACCATGGTGGCGGCGGCGGTGGTTAAATTTTTTTATTTTATTCTGGGGAAGGGTTAGCAACGTCGGGACAGGACCGGGAGCGGCCCAGGGAGGCGCGCGAGGGCGAGAAGGGGGAGAGCGTATAAGCATAGCAACAGCAGCAAGGAGAAACTAGTAGAAAGGAGAGTTAACATAGTTTAACAGCTAGAGTAAGAATAGCTTAGCCTAGGTAAGGCTAAGGGTAATAGTAAGGAAATAGTATATATATTAAAGGTAAAGAAGATATATAATTATATATTATTAAAAAAAAAGAATTTAAAGAATTTAAGGCTTTTTAAATATTATAATAAATAAACTAATTAACTAAATAATAAATTAAAAATAATAATAATTAAATATATATAATTATAATACTTTTTTTATTTAATATAATAAATATAAAGAATTATATATAGGTTTATATTAAATTAAATATTTAAAAAAAGTATAAAAATATAAATAAAATAATTATAAAATAAAAAATAAAGATTAATAGAAAAATATATAAAAATAAAAAAATTATAAAGCTATTTTAATTAGTTTTAAATTAAATAAAGTATTATAAAGAATAAGGTTTTTATTTATTTAATAAAAATAATATAAAAAATATACTATAAAAGCTAAAAAAAAGAATAATAAAGATAAATATTATAGTTTTTTATAATTATTATATTTATTTATATTTTTAAGTATTTATTATAGGCTAGGCTCTAGCCTAGTACCTTCTATAGTAGCTAGTATAGTAAGGAACCCTTATAGGTATAACTAGATAATAATAAGTTAGTATTATTATTATAAATCCTTTTAGCCTTATTGCTAAGGGGGTTAGGGCTTACGCTCTTAATAGCTATAAGGCTAGTTGCCCCTAAAGCCCCTTTAGGGCTAGTCTATTATATATAGTAATACTAACCTAGGGTTATAGGTTTAAACCGTGACGTAGGTAGATGCAAAAGGGGCTGCGCGAACACGGTTTAACCTAGGCTTACAGGCTGTGCATTAGAGCCTGGGTGGTTTGTGGCCTATCTGTGGACGCGCTGGGGAGAGAGAGGGTATATTACGGGCTAGGCTCTGGCCTAGCGCCTTCCATAGTGGCTAGCGCGGCAAGGAACCCTTATAGGTGCAACCAGATAATAACAAGTCAGTATTGTTATTACGAATCCTTTTGGCCTCGTGGCTAAGGGGGTTAGGGCTTGCGCCCTTAACGGCCGCGGGGCTGGTTGCCCCCAAAGCCCCTCTAGGGCTAGTCCGTTATAGTATTTAAGAATTAAAATATAAAAAAGACTTTAACTATATATAATACCTATTTTAAATTAAGATAGGATTATAAGAATATATAGGTTAAATAGGGAATAAGTAGGTTAGTTAACCTACTAAGTTTTATATATTTATATTTATTATTATTATCTTTTATTAAGATAAAAAGTATATTATTCTTTATTAGGAATTATTTTAGAATTATATTAAATCTATATTAAAACTAAGGTTTTTCCTTTAAGTATTCTAGTTTTTTCCCTATCTTATAAGCTATAAAAGTACTAAATAGACTAGCTAATCTAATTAGTATAATATAATAATAATATATATTATAGTATATATATAGTTTTTAGCTTTATTTTATTAATTAAAAGCTAAGATAATATAGTAATTAGTATATATTACTTTCTAGCTTTTACCTTAGCTTATTATAATTACCTTATCTATATTTCCTTATAAGTTAGTTTTAAAAATTAGCTATATTATTATTATTATATTATACTAATTAGACTAATTAGTCTATTTAGTACTTTTATAACTTATAAGATAGGGAAAAAACTAAAGTACTTAAAGGAAAAACCCTAATTCTAGTATAGGTTTAGTATAATTCTAGAGTAATTCCTAGTAAAGAGTAATATACTCCTATCTTAGTAAAAAATAATAATAATAAGTATAAATATATAAAACTTAGTAAGCTAATAAATCTACCTATCCCCTACTTAACCTTCTTAACCTTCTTTCTTTATAGTTCTATTCTAGCCTAGGCTAAATACTATATATAGTAAAGGTCCTTTTTAAGTCCTAACCTTTAGATACTTTAAAGTATAAGTAGATATAATAATAGCTATAAAAGGCTATAATACCTACCCTTATTATTCTTCTTTTTAGCTTTTATACTTTATTTTCTATATTATTTATACTAAATAGGTAAGAATCTTTCTTTTTATAAGGCTTTATTTAACCTAGAATTAGTTAAGATAGCCTTACTACTCTTCTACTTCTATATACTTTTATACTTATCTTTACTTCTTACCTTATAATTACTTTATTTATATTCTTATACCCCTTTTAAATCCCTAGTTTAATATAGGCCTATATATAATTCTTTATATTTACTATACTAGGTAGGGAAGGTATTATAATTATATATATTTAATTATTATTATTTTTAATTAGCTACTTAGCTAGCTAGCCTATTTACTATAATATTTAAAAAGTCTTAAATTTCTTAATTCCTATTCTTTTCCTTCCTCCTTTAACTATATATAATTGTATATCTTCTTTACCTCTAGCGCGCGCGCTACCTCCTTACTATTGCCCTTGCCCCTGCCTAGGCCAGGCTGTTCCCGAAATAGGCTATATTACTTAACTTTTAGAAAAATTATTTAGAATACTTTTAGCTAGATTTAAACTAGTAATTTATATATTAACCTATATAGAACTCTATATTATAAAACTACTATATTATAAAGGTAATATATTATATTAATAAAATTTAATTTTCTTATTATTATTTACTTATTATTAACTATATATAATATAATAATTTAATTTTTTTATTATTATTATAATTATAAAAGCTTATAAAGAAATAATAAATTAATAGTTATTTTATATTAAATTATATATATTAATTAAAATTATAAAAATATATTTTTTAGGTAAATTTAAATGCTTTAAAAGCTCTCTAAAGGGCTTAAAGCTATATATATATAGGGGTAATTAACTAAAAAAAACACGTTATTTTCTAGATATATTGATTTATATATAATATATACCTAAATTTAGAGACTTGCTAGCCGGACTGACCACGTGACTGCCGCTCTTTCTAAATTAGGTTAGTCTATTTTAGTACTTAGATTTACAAGTAAGTCACGGTAAAATAAATGTACCGCGTTAGCTCCCCACTCTTATTCCGCGTATCCCTGTGTTATCGCCAATTGTTGCTCGCTATAACTTAACCTTATCGTGTGCTGTGGCCGTGGCCGTGGCTGTGGAATCTGCGGATGGGTAGCGGATGAACGATTGTTCCGTGCCAGGGCTTGCACATTGATTAAAAACAGCGAACACGCGTTTTCTAAGCCAATTCCAGGGCTCTGAGAGCTCTCTGGAGGGCTTGAAGCTGTGTGTGTGTAGGCAAATTGAACGTTATTCTCTGGGTACATCGATTTGTGTCTGATATACACCTAAATCAATGTACCTTAAGAATGACCCACCTTTAAAAATCACGTGGTCGGTCCGGCTAGCAAAATGAATTGTTAGGCAAGTCAGGGCAGAGGGGTAAAGGCCACCTCTTTCTTTCATCAACCTCGAAAATGCCTCTCAGCGATGAGCAGATTAAGATCATCGTGAACCATCCGCTTAATGACTTGCTGGCTTGTTTCCCGGCCAAATTACGCAATTTGGATGATTCCAATCAAACCTGGCGTGATGGCATCGCCATCCTCCTGCAAACGATAATTGACTCTTCCGCCGCATGCAACCTTCCTTCGTCAGATGGAGGCCACAATGTCGCATCAAGGCTCTTTACCATACGACAAAACGTCCGAGGAGGCTTACTCAAGTTCGATCAGTTTCGCCCGCTAGTCAACGCCCTCGAGACCAACTCCGACACCGATATCTGGACCGCCGTCATCAACCTCGTCGCCGCCGTCGACCCGTCGACACCCCCACGGATCAGCATCCCGCCGACATTCAACGCGACACCCATCAGGTCCAGCTCGAGCCGACTTGCCGACACCGAAAACCGTGAGATCGTCGAACTCGAGCTCTTTGAGGAAATAAGAAAATGTACCTTTCGCGGCGTCGGAGGGTTTTGGGACAAGTTTTTCGACTCTGAGCGCTGGCACAAGGAAAATAAAACCATGCTACAGGGGATAATGACAGCGCACAACGGAGAGCAATGGGTGAACTTTCCTTCCATCCCCGAACAAGATTCTGTCTGGGAATGGTTGCGTGGTCTGGAAGATGATTTCTTTCCGAATGCACAATACAAACTTCACACTACCACACATGCCTATCAGCTTCAGGAACGAAAGGGCCAGTTCGATATTTTCTTTCAGACGCCGGCCGCCGAAGGAAACAACACATTCTACTATAAGAACGTCCTTGTTGTTGGAGAGCTCAAGTTGTCGTTTGACAGCGGCAGATTTAAGGCAGATTTTCTGCAACTTGCGCGGTATGTGCGAGGCGTCTTCACCGACCAGCCAACTCGCCGATTTGTCCACGCGTTCACCCTTTGCGCTGATGAGATGGAGCTCTGGGTCTTTGATCGGTCTGGGCCCTATAGCTCGGGGCGATTCAACATTCACAAAAAGCCGGATAACTTTGCGCGCGCCATTATTGGGTATGCGACGATGGATAACGACGCGATGGGCCTGGATATATTCACTGAGCGAGAGGGTGTGCATCGCTATACCACCGTGGACGACGTAAGCGGCAACGAAAAAAGGCTAAGGCTGGACAAGGCTATGGTCAGGCAGAGGGCCATCGTGTGTCGCGGGACTACTTGCTATAGGACCGAAGATGGCAACGTCGCGAAGTTCTCGTGGGCATCGGATAAGCGGAAGCTAGAGGTGGAACAGCTTAAGCTTGCAGAGCTTCGAGGCGTTAAGGGAGTGGCTAAAGTGGTCGCGCATCGTCAAATTACGACCATTGCACAGATGCGGAAGGGCCTGGACTTTAAGCGACATCGTCACCGGTTCCGGAATGAAGACGCGCCGTTGGCCCCAAGATGGTCCGACCACCCGATTAACGCGTCTGGCAAGTCGTTTCTGCCTACGAAATTTAACGACCAGCTGTCGACAGGCAAGACGAAACCGAGCCTGTACGCTCCTAGCGAGGACCTGTGGGAGAACAGGATCTACTCCTGCCTCGTCGTCTCGCCAGCCGGCCGTGTCATCAGCGCGTTTGAATCGGTCAGAGAACTGCTTGAGTCGCTCCGAGATGCGATCAAGGCTCATCGGTCCCTGTATGTGACGGGCAACATTCTCCACCGCGACATATCATCAAACAACATCATTATTACACAGCCTACGACAGCGGGTGACTTCAAGGGCATGCTTATCGACCTTGATCTAGCGAAAGTGAGAGACAGCGTCGCGAGCGGAGCGCGGCACCAGACTGGCACGATGCAGTTTATGGCGGTCGAGGTGCTGTGTGCGGTCGATCATACCTATCGCCACGACCTAGAGTCATTCTTCTACGTCCTGATTTGGATGTGTGCGCGTGAAGTGTGGACTAAGTGGAAGTTCAGATGTGGAGAGACGCCGCCTAAGCAGAGCATTTTACGACGATGGGAAATCGGCAGCTTTGAGGACATTGCGGATTGTAAAGCAGGTCATATGAGTGTGAATGGGCTTAAACGTATTATGGCCGAATTCCCACAGTCGTTAGCTGTTGCCAAGCCTCTCTGTCTTAGGATCAGGAAGATCCTCTTCCCACACGACGAGGAGGGAGAGATGAGCTTTGGAACCCCTACAGGAGATCCGGATCAACTTTACACGCCTTTCATAGCCGCAATTAATGAGACTATTAGTAGTCTATAAAGGAATATCTTTCTTCTTATTAAGGTAGTTAAATTATAAATAAAATACTTATTACTTTATAGGCCCTGCGATAAAAGGTGGCGACGAAGCCCTCTATAATTGGTTAGAAATAAGTTATAGCGCCCTGCGAATCCTATTTTTCCTTAAACTTGTTTGTTTATAGCGCCCTCGTGTGATGCAGGTACGAATTGATTACGGGCTTCATAACGCAGCCATGTCAACAGTGCATATGGCTTACAGAGGCAGGCTACGCGCCGCCGAGGGACGCTAACGCGAGCAGCCAAGTTGATGTGAATCATCATCCTGTTTCAAAGCTACGTAGCGCCATCTATAAACGCGGCAGGAGCAGATCAATGCATGCCTTGCTATACATAGGGGCGAAGCCTTTGACCGTCACTGGCGGAACGCATGCCGAATTTCCAGTGTCCATTCACCACCCACTGTTTCCACCTGTACCGTGTGACTGAGCCACAGCCGGAGCTTCAAGACTCAGCATCTGGGTTCCTCGGCATTCCACACGAAATGGAAGCATCTCGTACGATATCAACAAAATCGCTGCCCTCTGGCTCATGCGTCACTTTCGGGTCTTCGTCCTTCTTTCTGCGAAATGGGCAAAACGCCGCGTTTCCCACGTTTTCGGAGATTTTTGCAACGAGCGCTACCCAAGCACCGTCTTTCCAACGCTGCAAACACCGCCCGCCAGTTCGGTTCGAAGAACTCGGCCTGCTGGTCAAGTTTGGAAGCGAGCCCGTGGTTTCCATTGCCGAGGGACAGTGCCTCTGGGCGCTACAGCACGCCTTGCCCAGCGTCCCAGTGCCAGAAATATATGGCTGGGCTCGGGATGGCGATTTGACATATCTATTCATGGAGCTCGTATCTGGCATCACACTGGAGAACATTTGGAGCGCTCTGTCGCGCCCAGAGCGAACGCAAATTTGTACAGAGCTACGATATATGCTCAAAGAGCTGCGTTCCCTGCGACAAGAACCGGGCCAGCAATTCGTCGGTACGTTTATTATGCTACCAAATCGGCCGGCTTGCTACTGACACATAGTCCAAGGCCATATAAACCGTGCTCCACTCTCCGATAAAGTTTTTACGAATGGAGTTCTGCCACGCGCTGGACCTTTCACAGACGTGAAACAGTTTCACGACTGGCTTTCCTCAATGTTGACATTGGGGATGGAAATACACTGGCCAGATACCGACTCCTCTGATATACCAGATCCATACCGACACGGCCTACCGGACGACGCCGGTATCGTTTTCACGCACTCCGATCTTCATCCTAGCAATATTCTCATATCGCAGGAAAAGCCCCATCGTGTCATCTCCGTCATAGACTGGCAGCAATCTGGATGGTATCCGGACTATTGGGAATTTTGTAAAGCTGAGCATACAGCCGAGTATGGCGCAGAGTGGCAGAAAGATTACATACCACAATTTCTGGACGAGCCAGAATGTGTGATGACTTTCGAGACATATGCTCAAGCTTTCGGCTACTGATTCATTTACTTAATTTTGTGGGATAAACGACTCAGTGATCTAGCGAATCCGGTCGTATAGTATTTCTTCTAGCAAGCTCAGTACTAGGTTTGGTTCAACTCTTCCAACCGCTTCTAGTGGTGATTGAGTCTAGGCATACAACCCTGCTCAAGTTTGCAAGCCCAACGACTACTCTACTCGGTCGGGGACGTTCCAAGAAGGCCAATAGCTGACTGATCGATTGCGCCCAAATCGACCAAATGTTGGACAAAGTTCCCAGCCCAGGTTTGACAGCCCTCGCCCTAGACACTTCCATTAGTCACTGTAGTATCGCAAGTCGCCTCTGCTCTTACAGCAAATGGGTCCAGTAAATTTGGACTCTTCTTGGGCAGGGCAATTGAGTGGGCAGCAGCTTCAAGGGAGTCTAGCCATGCCTCATCCATACAGCCCAGAAGAACAACTGTATGGCGTCTATTGGTTGCAGCGAGGTTGTAGTGTTCCTTGATCTGGATCTGGTAGCCAGTGAATTTGGAGCCCACGACATGGTATATGAATCCCTCTTGTTCGCGTTCACCTTCCGTGACCATAATAGACCAGTGAGCGGGGGTACGTCTTCGCGCTTGGGAATGGTAGATGACCAAATACACAGTAAGGACCATGCTGGGTAGCAGAGTGTGCGCACGAGGCAGAATGCGCAGGCTGTTTTTTTTTTTTTAAATTCAAAGGAAACCTCTCAACAGGCTTTGGGAATGTGAGAATCGCTTCTGGCACGTGGCTTCTTCAACAGCTCGATGTGCAATTAAAGTCCTCTGTACAGAGTAAATCTTGCCATAAAAGGGACGGAGTGTCGGCCCTAATAAATGAAACTGACGAAGGATTACAGGGCATGCCTCTGTCAGCCATATGCACTGTGACATGGCTGCGTTACTACAAGGCCGGTATGAATTCGTAGCATCACACAAACGAGGGCGCCACAAACAAACAAACTACATCCGTTCAAGGAAAAATGGGATTCGCGGGGGCGCTACAACTTGTTTCTAACCAATTATAGAGGGTTTCGTCGCCGCCTTCCGCCGCCTTTTATCGCAGGGGCATCGTGATGTGACTCCAGCGCTACTGCTAGTATTAGCGATGCAGACAAAACCGCATAGGGAGCAACCGGAGCGGGCACGGACAAATTGATTCAGACGTGCATTTATATGGTCGCCGTTGAAGCGAGCAGGTCCTATCAAGCCACTGTTGCTCGCCCCTCCAGCGGTAGGCACTACGGAAATGGTGTACTTTCCCAAATCTGTTCTATAATCCTGCTGTTTTGCGGCTCAGTAAATGTGGCGATGAGGAGACAGAGGCATTGTTGTGCGCTGTATGTCATGCTTAAGACTACAGCCGTCAGTAGGTGCATGACACCCATCGCGATTGGAGAGAAAATCCAAAAGAATGACTTACATCTCCATCGTAATGCGCCGCCGTGTTTTTTCCCAGCCCTTCCTGTGGACAATAGCCCCTCGATGTGCAACCCTATACTGAGTGCCATGCTGCCCGCGTGAATTCGGAGACGAGGTACCCTGGAGCGCCTAGGCGACAAGTTACCAGACCTTCACTACGCCGGGATTTTTTATCTGAAACAGGTCACTCCCAACGTGCCTTGGCTCGGTTGAAAAGACTTCTGAGGTGGGAATCGTTTGCGTCTGCAAAGATGGTCGGATCGGTTTGTCGGCCAATCTGATACTATGTAACCTGTTTTACTTGGTATGGCTAAAAGGCTGAAATTAGTAGCGATTAACAAAGCCAGAGTACGACTGGTTGGTTAAATATGTGCCCAGGTGGTAGTAAAGCTTAATATGTTCTGTTCTTATGTTCTCTGTAAGTCTCCAAATTTTTTGACCATTGTATGTATACCTGTAGTTGAACAGGTATTTACGGCATAACTGGCCATGGGTGCCCAATTGAGCCACACCATCATGATCAACGACAGCCAGCCACTGCCATCAAGTGTACATCTACCAAGTGGGACTACAAGACGGGTTTTTGGACAGCATGATCACTCTGTGAGTGTATACTTTATTCCTGAGATCTGAGAGGAAATGATGCTATTTTTGCTGCTTGGCGGGTCATCTCAACCAGCCACTATCGCGGGATTGACAACCAAGATTCAGCGGCCTCCTCCCAAACTCCAGCGCTGTGGGTACGGTGAGGCATTAGTTTATAGTGGGCTGGCGCTGTCAGAACGGTTGCAAGACCACTAAGCGGCCACTAACAGAGCGCTAAATACCACCGAGCTCGGGTGCCCCACCACTGCTAACTTGGTCTTTAGATAGCGATAAGCTGTTTGCGGACCGATAAGAGCTCTGCCCCTCGTTGCTCTGATTCAAGCCTGCGACTTTTTTTTTTGTCAACTCCTCTGCTCACCTTGGCTGGTATCACGACTTAATCGCTTCCTTGCTATTTTTAATTGTCTTGGAAAAGCGCCATTGGCTACTGCCGCTCCCGCTGTCGCCGCTGCTGCTGCAACCACGTGCTGCGTGGCTGAGCGACTCATTCGTCCGTTTGTCCTGGGTGGCCTGATTTACGTCTACAGTGCAAGTTACTCTGTACAGGTACAGGTACTAGCTGCCAGCTCCCTCCTCCCGCACGATTCGATATTCGACATTCTACCCGCTACATCTCAACCATTGACTCCTCCATCTCCCATCGGCCGCAATGGAAGCGTCTGCGAAGAAGAAAATCGCCGTCATGACCTCGGGGGGTGACTCCCCCGGCATGAACGCCGTCGTCCGGGCCGTCGTCCGCACCGCCATCCACATGGGCTGCGACGCCTACTGCATCTACGAAGGCTACGAGGGCCTAGTCCAGGGCGGCAACCTGATCCGCCAGATGGGCTGGTCCCAGGTCCGCGGCTACCTCTCCGAGGGCGGCACCCTGATTGGCACCGCCCGCTGCATGGCCTTTTACGAGCGCCCCGGCCGCCTCCGGGCCGCCAAGAACATGGTGCTCAACGGCATCGACGCCCTCATCATCTGCGGTGGTGACGGCTCCCTCACCGGTGCCGACCGGTTCCGCACCGAGTGGCCCTCGCTGCTCGCGGAACTCGTCTCGACCGGCGAGCTGACCGCCACCCAAGTCCAACCCTACAAGCATCTCAACATTGTCGGCCTCGTAGGCTCCATCGACAATGATCTGTCCGGCACCGACGCCACGATTGGCTGCTACTCGGCCCTCTCCCGCATCTGCGAAATGGTCGACTACATCGAGGCCACGGCCGCCTCGCACTCGCGCGCCTTTGTCATCGAGGTCATGGGCCGCCACTGTGGCTGGCTGGCGCTACTCGCCGGCGTCGCCACGGGCGCCGACTTTGTCTTTATCCCGGAGAGGCCGGTCAGCGACTGCTGGCAACAGGAAATGTGCTCCGTCGTCAAACGGCACCGCAACTTTGGCAAGCGCAAGACCATTGTCATTGTGGCCGAGGGCGCCAACGACAAGGATGGCAACAAGATCACGCCGGAGCAAATCAAGAACTTGCTGGCCGATAAGTCGGAGGGTGGTCTGGCTCTTGATACACGCATCACTACGCTGGGCCATGTGCAGCGCGGCGGCACGGCAGTCGCGTACGACCGCATGCTCGGCACGCTGCAGGGTGTCGAGGCCGTCAAGGCTGTGCTCGAGGCGACGCCGGAAACCGAAACGTGCTTCATCGCCATCAACGAGAACAAGATTGTGCGCAAGCCGTTGATGAAGGCTGTTGAGGAAACCAAGTCTGTGGCCAAGGCGGTGGAGGAGAAGCAGTTTGACAAGGCCATGTCGCTCCGTGACACGGAGTTCTCTGACCAGTACAAATCCTATATCACCACGACCAACGTTAAGACCGACGAGCATAAGCTCCCTGACAAGGAGCGCATGAGGATTGGGTTCATCAATGTCGGAGCGCCTGCCGGAGGCATGAATGCGGCTGTTCGTGCGGCGGTCGCCTACTGCTTCTCGCGGGGACACACCCCCATTGCCATTCATAACGGGTTTGCCGGGTTTGCGCGTCATCATGGTGACAAGCCAGTCGGCGCCGTCCGAGAGTTTGACTGGCTCGAAGTCGACTCGTGGGCGAGCAAGGGTGGCTCCGAGATTGGCACGAACCGAGAGCTGCCGTCGGAATCCGGCATGGACCACATTGCTGGTCTGATTGGCAAGTATGAGTTTGACGCCCTCTTCATGGTGGGTGGATTCGAAGCTTTCCATGCACTTTCACAGCTGCGGATTGCGCGTGACCAGTTCCCGACACTCCGGATCCCCATGGTCTTGCTACCCGCTACTATCTCGAACAACGTTCCGGGAACTGAATACTCGCTTGGGTCTGATACATGTCTCAACGAACTCGTCCAATATTGCGACAAGATTAAGCAGTCGGCCTCTGCTACTCGGCGCCGTGTCTTTGTCATTGAGACGCAGGGTGGTCGTTCTGGCTATATTGCTACACTCGCTGGTCTGGTAGTGGGGGCCTCGGCCGTTTACATCCCAGAAGAGGGTATCAGCCTCGATATGCTCAACATTGACGTGACGCATCTCAAAAAGGTGTTTGCCGAGGATACTGGCCAGTCTCGGGCCGGCCGTCTGATTCTTATCAACGAAAAGGCTAGCAATGTCTACGACGCCAAGCTGATTGCTAGCATTATCCGCGACGAGGCGCACGGCCGGTTCGAGAGCCGCGAGAGCATCCCCGGCCATGTTCAACAAGGTGGCGTCCCGTCGCCCATGGACCGGTGCCGGGCGGTGCGGCACGCGATCAAGTGCATGGAGCACCTGCAGGGCTACGGCAAAAGGACTTTGGCGGGAAGCACAGATGCTCTGAGCGCCTCTGTTATTGGCATCAAGGGCTCGGAGCTCGTGTTTACGCCGGTGCAGGAGCTGGAGGAGACGGAGACGGACTGGCCGAACCGGCGGCCCAAGCTGTCTGAATGGCTCAAGATGCGCGACATTGTGGACGTCCTGGGTGGTCGACCGCAGCACGCCAGGCCAGAGTCGAACCTCAAGGGCCTGCTGGCAAAGGATGTCAAGCGCGGACTTGCATAGAGGTCGTTTTGCGTGGGTAGGGGGGATATGATGGGTTATGATGTTACGGGTTGCGGCATGGGCCGGGATGATGGAAGGGAGTTTTGAGAGACTGTTTTTTTCCTAGGATTGTTTGCCATAGATTTTTGCAACAGAGTTATTTCTTCCCAAGGCGCCGAATATGAGTGTGACGTAGGTTATTGTGGCAATGCATGGGTGCTGCCTTGAAGTGGGCGACGCATGGCACACACAGCCTGCGGTGATGCTTCAGCATGACTAGCCCTGGGAAGGAGGCCTGACACGAAATCAGGTTTTGAAACAGGCGCCTTTTTTCGAGGCGGCCTTCTTGTATTGTACTCGAAGAAAGACAAGGTCAATCGGCCACAGCAGGCCCATTTGGGGGCCAGCTGATGCATGAGGTGCATGACGGGGTGGCCCGCTCGACGCCCGCTCGACGCCCGCTCAGCCCAGCCTCTTTTCTGGTCGTGTCCGCATGGCCATTCAGCAATGAGGCCTGACCACTCCACCCGCTTTAAGCGCTCACGCAATTGTTTCCCTCTTTTTTTCTTCCTTCTTCTCAACAGTGAGTGTGCTGTGTGTGTGTTGAAACTCTATTATCCCTCGGCGTCTGCAGCGTTTTTCCCTCTTCTTTCGCTTCTTCCATAACCCTCTCTAGGCATCAGCGTTGACACTACCAGTTACCGACCCCGCGATAGCGGCCCGACGCGGGACGGATATCGCTTGTTACGTCACTCAGCAGCCCCCCCCCCCCTTGATCATCGCCTCGTTTGGCCACGCCCCCGGATCCTCATCGCAAACTGTGAACACCGCAGGGACAGACAACCGAAAATGTCGTACAGACGGGCGACAGACTTTGAAGAGACCGAGTACGTCTCGCAGCCCTCGCGCAGCCGCGGCGGCGACCAGGTCCGCGTCCTGGAGCGCGACCGCGAGCACGACGTCTACATGGACCAGCACCGCGACCGCACGCCCGCCTTCCTGCGGGATGCCGGCCGCCGCGCCGAGCCGGGGCCCATGGTGCTGCGCCGCCGCGAGGTCGAGTCCTTTGACCGCCACGCTCGCAGTCCGAGCCCGCCGCCGCCCACGCGCATCGTGGAAGAGCGCATCGTGCGCCGCGCCCGGAGCGAGTCCCCGCCGCCGGCGAGGGAGCGCTCCCGCACCCGCATCGTCGAGACGGAGCGCACCGTCAGTCCCGTCCGGCGGAGAGTAGTCGTCGCGCGCTCCCCGAGCCCCACCGTGCGCTTCGTCGAGCACGTCCGCGACAGATCGCCGTCGCCGTTCTCCGACGACCTGGACCGCGAGCATATCCGCATCGTGGAGCGCGAGAGGGGCCGCTCCCCGGAGCGCTCGCCCAGCCCCCCGCCGCCAGTCATCAAAGCCCCGACGATTGAGCGCGAGGTGATTACGCACTATACGGATATCGACCACGGTAGGTTCTTGGCTGCGTGGAGTTTTTGCTGATCGGGGGCTGATGGAGGCGTAGGTATGATTCGGGCCCGGCAGCCCAGTCCGCCGCCGCCGCGGCAGCCGCGCACGTACGACGACGTGCGCGAGACGGACATTGACATTGTCCTCGACAAGCACCACACGGACGTCGACATTCGGCGGACCACGGGGCGCTCGGGCAGCCGCAGCCGCTCGCGCCACCACCGCTTCCACGACGACGAGGACGAGGACGACGTGTCCATTTACGACGACCGCTTGCGCGTCGACGC